TGTCGTCGGGCATTCGTGAAGCTCTCCCTAATATTTTAATCAAGATGTAATAATTAGAAACGAATTACAATTCTTACTAAAAAGAGAATTTATTTTTGCAAAAAATAATGTATTTATTAGAAAACTTGAAGTTATAAAAATACGAATTTCTTTTCGGTAATTTATAACATTATTATTTATAATATATTATTAAGATAAAAAATATAATTAAGTTATTTGCACATATTGCATTACGTTTTATAACTTTGAGCAATGCTAGAACCATAAATACGATTCCATTCGATATAAATCTTTAAATCTGACTGAGACACACTGGGTCGCACGTTGATTAACGCCTGTTCAAAATCACTGTTTGTTATGTGTCTCACTTCCTCCATTTTTATATCTTCAAGTTGATTGAAGGGGATGCTCCGGATCGGTTCCATACTTGCTTCCTTACAGAGATTAGTTACATCAGCGCTGGAATATCCCACCGATTTCTCCGCGATTTTCATGATAGCTTCCTCATTAAGATCGTGATTCACCGACATCAATAAATTATTTATTATCTGCTTGCGCGCTTCGAGTTCCGGCAAAGGAACATACAACCTTTTGACGAGACGTCTTCTTGCCGCCTCGTCCAGCTCTTGCGGTCGATTGGTTGCACCAATGATTAGAATACGATCTTCCTCAGATGTTGCCGCGCCGTCTAGCTGCACCAGGAATTCCGTCTTTAGCTTCCTGGAGGACTCGTGCTCCGTCTCCGAACGCTGTGTCAACAACGAATCGATCTCATCAATGAAGACGATGGACGGCTGGTGAACCTTGGCCACTGCAAATAACGCGCGTACCATCTTCTCGCCGTCGCCGATCCATTTGGAAGTCAGAGAGCTCGCTGAAATTGAAAAAAATGTAGACTTGGGATGTCGTCCCACGTTATCATTTTACTTGAATCCATGATCTCATTTTTTATCAACTCGATCATATTTGGATCAATGTTCTTCAGCCTTTTATCCTCTACTTCTTCGTTCGATTTACCTTGTAGCGTATTGTAATTTTGCGCCGACTCTTCCTTATCGCATTTGAAAGGACAGACGAATTGAGAATTAGCCATCCTTCGGCCGCCCTTCTTTGGCACAGACTTGTTCTTCTTCATCTCTTGGATGTATAATTCGTCGTAATTGGCGCTTCTAGAGGAATCAAAATCGATTTTTTGCATATTGGCGCTTTCACTGATAATCTGTGGAGGAACAGTTGGTTTTAATTGTAATGCATGAGGATTTATTGATCTGTACGAGCTTTTATCATTCATATTATTATTGCTTAACTCAGGAGGCACTTTTTGCACAAATCTGTCCAAATTCTGATAAGAAGATTGACCATTTGTTTGTACTTTGGAAACATTCTGTTTGGCGGAACTTACATGCTTATTAAAATTTCTAGAAATGTTTGTGAAATGTATAGATATATTTTGTTCACTGTGTGTGTTAGGCTTCAATGAAAGTTTTTGACTTGAATTCTGAGTAGAAGCTGTTTGTAACTGCGAACAGATTTTTATACTTCTTTCTATGTCTTTCTTCTTTGAGTTATTCATTAGTTTCTCTATATCCCTATCATTGTAAGATCTTTCTTTACAAAGTAGAGTATTGAGCTTCTGACAAGTCAAAGGTTTTATAAAATTCAATGTAGTGTCTATATCTTCTAACGTCCATAATTCTGACTTTAATAGATCATTTTTTGTGTCCAATATTTGAGATTTAATTTGTTTCCAGTAATTGTTTACTCCGTTCTTATTCTTTATCAGGCTGTGATGATCTTTAAGACTCTTTCGAAGCAGTACAGCTTTCATATCTTCTGAATCGCTGTACAATAATAAAAAGATAAAAATGTATGATAAATTTAACATAACAGAAAAATATGCATGTATGAATGTATTTTACTTACGACAATTTTATTATATCTTGCTTCACAGCAAGAGACTTGCGTTTAATATCTGCGACATCGAAACAGTCCTTGTCTTTTTTTGAAAATATCAGAGAATCATAAGTAGCTAAAATATCATTTTTCTTGTCTTTCGAATTTGGTGGAGTACACTGTGCATTTGCACCGATAGAATCTGTATGTCTATTCATACTTGATATACATCGATTCAAAATTGAAGAGGAGAGTTAAATTGAATAATTATCAAGATATAATAATGTATCTAAAGGTAGCTTTCAAGAATTAACGTGATATAAATATCACGTTTCAACAAGTTTATTTGGTTAAGATTGAATATCTCTACATATGTCAATAGAACACCTGTTGCAGCATAAAATATTGCGTATAGAGAGCACACTCCCGAAGGCAGTTTGATGTGTGTCGTGTTGCCACTGTGTGATTGGCTGTTCAAATCTGTTAATTAAAGACGATTACGAATAACTTGTAAGGATTCAAAAATGCCGATATAATTTCGTTTAATTTCTGGTGTCAATTTGTATATGTGAAAAAGAATCTAGTTTTTCGTTTCATTTATCCATAAATAAACGATGTTGTCACGATACGTTTAATATCTAACTTAGAACACAATAAATCTGAAAGGAATATGCCCTCGTTTGGTTTTCGTCTATTAGCGCCTCTACAAAATATGGACATGAACTATGTAATTATGTGCACGAATATTTCTGATGGTAACATGATTAATTGTAAGACTCCTCGCCTTATATTTTCTAAAATCATTCATGTATGTGTAAGCTGACTGCTAAACATCGACATTTAATCAAAGTCTTAATATTAATTCGATATTTTTTGTTTACGACGAACGATACGAGTTTCCAAGAAGAAATGAGCTTTTTTCTAGCGCAACGGTTCTTTATATATCTTATTGGAAAGCTAGCGGTCACCAATGAGCGTTTAGATAGAATAAGCGTAGTAAGATACCATTGGTCGGTACGCGAGTGATGGAGATAAAGGCTTGCGGGGTAGTATTGTATAAATTAATAGCCGTACTTTCGTTTCATGCTTTTGCATTGCAACATTTCACTGACTGCGGAATCTCACGTTTCATTACGTTGTGCGGAGTAACGCAACCTTGGTTTCCTATGATTCTTTTATCAATACGGAATTATTTAATTCCTATTGAAAAACGAAACAAAATTAGATTAGTTAATTAATGGAAAATGACTCGAAAGGATCGTCGGAATTTGCCGACGTCTATGATCTATTTATTTCGATTATTACTTACCGCTAAAGCAATCTATAGGAAAACGGCAGAAGCAAAGTTGTACATCTAATATTGTATTCTATACATTGCATTAAATTATTCATTCTTAATACATTTTTTCTATATTATATTTCGAAATAAACGTAAAAATGTAAAAGAATAAAAAATAAAAAATTCTATGCAACAAAAAGATGATGGCTAACTAAAATCAGCGAAGATGGTGAATGGCCTCTATTTAATAATTCGTTTTTATCGAATTTTATTTGAATATTTTAATTGAAAGTATATAATTTTAGGAAAATTTCAAATTTAGTCAAGGTTTCTCTCATAATAAGATCATCATAATTACATTTGATTACATTTAAAATTAAAGCTGTTTATATGTTATTCTATAATAAATGTTAAGCAATGGCATTATTCTTGATTTTTTTCATTTTTACATGCATTTTCATAAAAACACTGTTAAATGGAAAATTTTGGCTGTTTTTATATTACATTTTGAACATTTTTTAAAATTATTTTAATTTTTAATTATTATTTATATAATGTATTATTATATTTTATCTTTTTTCTTGGTACGATATTGATCTTTATCTTCTACGATATTGATTAATGAAATTATAAATATTCTAGTAAATATATTCGTTCATTTCTGTAATTTTCACCTCGTTTTAAAATACACAATTGATTTAAAATACACTTTCGTAGTCTCCGTGACGAATATATGACCAGCCTCTTGATTGCCTGGGGGGAAGGGATGTCTAATCATTACTTGTGATAATTTTTAACGGATATGAAATATATAAAGTCGAAAATGTATTTGTGTGTGTACAATTGTATGTAAGTGTCCACAATGTGCTGATAATGAGCTCGGGCCCGTGAGTTTACTAATAATAAATTTAAAAGAATTATAAATATCAATTCCCTCTTGCAAGAGATCATGCGTTTTACTTATCGTGCCTTGATGTAATAAAATTGTATTTATTATTAACAAATATCATTCGTTTTATTAGACATTATTTAATAACAAGTATATACAGTATTATATCGCAGTCGCTCAGTGAACGTTTGCGACTCGAAAGTAGGTAATTATATGATCTGTAGATTGATATATATTGGATGCAAGCACTCTCTAAGTCACTTATAATAAACGGTCACAATATTTGAAAGCACAATTTCATGTCAGTTACTTGTTCTTATTTTTATTAAATTTAAATTTATTTCCGCGAAATTTAAACTTTACAATCTCTATATAAAAAAATGTATGTATACAATCTTTTTGAAAAAATATATATTAAATAATTATTATACATACAATTCTAAAAACTATTTTCTATAAAAGTCTTATTTTTATAAAATAACCTTCTCGACTCTGATTTTTCCAAAAATTTTCTGTATTTAATTGGGATTTTGCCTAAAATGTAAGTAGTACTAAAACAAAATAAGTCTTTTTTCTTGTTATTATACAAAGCGATTTTATGTATTTTTACCATTCCTTAGACGAGCATTTTATAATCACGTTTCTTGATTTATTCATCTACTGTGATATTGGTATACATAGCAAATTGTTTACAAAAGAATCATTTAAAAGCGATGTTTAAATTAAAGATAAGCACAGTGGTACCTGCAGTGACAATGTGATAATATTATCACCTCGGACGAGAAAATAATATTTTTCGCAATAAGTTCTTTACAGGTTTTAACATACATCTAATTAAATTTAGGAGGATTATTAATATTTCAGATTGATTGTGTTGAAAGTCTGAAAGTAATCAGCCCGCAATCATTCTGAGATAAATTTATTTAAGGAATACATTTGTATATATTAGTTTAACATCTAACTTTGACCGAAAGTGTCACTTCTTTCGTATTTAGGTAAAAAAAAAAAAAAGATCCCGAGAAAATATCAAATAAAGGATTGTGCTAATAAGAATCAGCGCTGTATACAATATACAATTTTTTGTAGAAAAAAAATCATAAATAATGAGGATCTTTTAAGGACATATCTTTGAGAAAATGTATTTTACAATTAGAAAACTTAAAAAAATTGAAAATTTACTGTAGAGAAAACCTAAAAAATATGAAAAATAAATTTTTAATTTTTGTTTAAAGTCATCTTAAAACATATTTAAAAATAACTTAAAATTTATTTATAAGAAAAATTAAACGAAACTAAACAAAACTTAAAAATTGTGAAGAATAAATATCAACAATTCAAAAACTTTTTTTTTAAGAAGGTTTTAAGGCAAATGCAATAGGTTAAAAATTACTTGAAAAAATTACAGATTATTCTAAATTGCACTTAAAAGTAATATAAAAAAATTAGAGACAATTGACCATCTGTATTAAAAGTTATTTCGATAAAAAGTAATATTTTTTAAATTTGTACTTTAATAGAAATATATGAAAATGTATTATAAAATAATGATAAAAATCTCAATTTTTTTATATAGATACTTTATGAATTCAAAAATATTTATGTAAAGTTACATCGAGATGTATACATTAATTGTTCAGTAAATAAATAAAATATTTATTTGTTATAATTAGGGAATCTCAATGAAACTTTGCAAGTCATTTTTAGCACTTAAAATATTTATATTAAAAAATTAGATTTTTGTTATTATTTTTAAAATTTTTGTTTATAACAATAAAACTAATATCAAATAAAATTAATAATCTATAAAAATGTGTTGTTCAATAAAAACAGAATGTTACGCAACTTTCACATGTATGTAATTTGTTTAAAGCATAATATTAATATGTGTTTTATCATGCCCTTACAATCTTCTTAAAGAGATTCGATATTTAAAGTTTTTCTTTAAAATAATAATTGCAAAATCATGAATTTGTTTAAATTTCAAAGCAAATTCCTTTTATTTATAAAGAAATTCGAAAAATTATTTTATAAAAACACGAATGAAAAATCTTATAACAGTAGGCCTTTTATTCTGTCCTGTAAGGATCTTACTTATGAGAAAATGTAATACCGTCGCGTCCATCTGGCGATGTCGCGTACTGTTCCCAAGTGAATGTTTAGTCAACTTAGCCTTACTTTAAAACTTCAAAGTACTTTGAAAAATTTAGATGCAATGAAAATAAGAACCCACATCAGTTTTTCTAAGCTTATTTTAAAGTTAACTTTGAAATACTTTAAAATTTTTAGATTACTTTAGATCAATCTTTTACACATTTTAAATTACCTCAAAAATTTTAAGTAAATTTTTAATTATATTTACAAATATTAACTTTATTTAAAATAAATTTTTTTAAGGGATAAAACACGCTAATTTGCGTTAATTTTATCAGGTAACGCAAATCAAAAGAATGCTTAAGAGGTCTACATCCATCCATAAGGCAATCAATCATCTTCCATTGCAGAGTAATCTCAAATAGTTAAAAAGATGGTACAAAGTATACTGATACAGGAATGAGTGATTTTGCATGAAAACATTATAAAATTTATTGCCATTGTTTTATGATCATTAATGTATCACGTTATATTTTGGAAGGTGATGCTAAAATCAATAATATTAATCATAAATAATATTTTAGTAATAAAACTGAATAGTTTGTAATTTTGATATCAATAATAATTATGTATAAGTATTTATAATTATGTATAATTATGGACGTATTTTATAGTTTTGTATAATTATACTTGTTATATAACTATTTATCTATAATTATATATGAAAACATTTTTTCGGGCTTAGTCGATGTGTATGCTATTATATTTATCTTAAAATTATTGCTTACTTTATTGCAACATTTCTAAAAAGTATTCTAAAAAAGTATTCTGTTAAGTTTATGTCGAACAAAAAAATAATAAAAATATGATGCTTATTAGCATAAAAAAAAAGAATTGTTAAATTGCTTGTTAATTTAATAAGTGCCCGATATTATACTACTCTGGTTTTGTTCATGAAAGCGTTTAAGACCGAAAAAGACGTGCAATTTACAGAATCAGATATGTACATAAATTCACACAGAAATATTTAAACATTAAGATCTTCTTTAAACAATATAACCGTAATGTAACCGTAATGTAACTGTAACATAACACGTGTGTTATGTTACATTTATATTGTTGAATCGAAAATTACAACTAACCACAACGTTACATGAACTTGTGTTCACTAGGTAGACGTTGGCGATCCGAAATGACACTCAAATTAAATGTTAACTCTCAAATAAACCTTCAACTCAAGAGTTAACATTCAACTTGCGTGTTATTTTGGACCTTTATTGTTTAATTGAATATACATTTTTATAAAGGTATTGCAGCAACATTTTACAACATTGTTACTGTCTTGTAATGAAATATTTCTGCAATGTTTCTACAATCCTTCTGTACTTATTGTATGG